GCCGCTGGACCAGGGGGCGGGACAGCCAGCACCGCGTGCAGGGGCACGCTCCACCTGCAGCTCCAGGCAGTGGGCCCAGGAGAAGCCCGGAGCTGCGCAGACAGGGAAGGGAGTGCTGGGTGGCTCAGAGGACGGGAGGGCAGAGAGCTGAGGCAGGAGGCAGCCTGCCCCTGCAGAGCCCCGAGGAGCCCCAGGATGGGGGGAGGAGCAGAGTCCCTCGCTGCACTGGGGCTGGGTCCTGTCACAGGCTGGCGGGCACAGGATTAGACGGAAATGCAAAGGTGCCTTGTGTCTCACCATGGACCCCGTGTCACGCGGAAAGTTCCCACAGCCGTTGTCGCCAGAGCCAGCAGCGCTGCCTCCACCCCATGGATACCAAGATCACATAGCTGGGGTGCGGCCAGCGGGAACCTGGGTCCTCTTCCCAGGGGCGAAGCCTGGCTTCTTCGACACAAAGGACATCCAGGGCTGACGGTCATGGCCGCCCTGCCCAGTGTGTCTGCTCTTGTCAGCCTCCACCTTCCCCAGCTCAAGGCCCAGCCTGCTCTTAGCAAGGCAGAGGAGCGTCAAAGGTAGTTAAAGGTCTCCAGCACCCGCTGAGCTGAATGTCGGCTGGGTGACTCTGAGCAGGTGGCTTACCCTCTCTGAGCCTCAGTTTCCTTCCTATGATGGAGATGATGGGCACCTCCAACCACCGCCCTGAGGTCTCCCTCCAGCCCCAAGAGCAGCCGGTAAATATGAGTACCAGGAAAAGTCCGCGGCCTGCCAGCTGGGGAACGGCCGATTCCTTCCAGAAGCTCCTAATGTTTCTGGGCTGCAGGCTCCTGGGGGACGCGTCCGGATCTCTTAGTGTTCAGGGAAGCAGGGCGACACTCGTGGGGGGGCGTGTTTTACTTTTAAAGGGGTCGAGGCCACTTTGCAATCAGAGCCTTGGTGGCTGGAGCGGGCGCCCGGGAAGGGGTGCTAATCAAGGCGCCTAAGGACATGCAAATCAGAGGAAGCTCAAGTGATTAGGGTGCCCGGGCCGCGCTTCCCCAGCTGAGAAGAGCGCCAGAGGCCTCGCGGGTGTCTTAGGAGGGCAGACCTCAAGGAGCCAGGAGGGGCCACCGGGAGGGCCGAAGTGGCCGCAGGGCTCCCTGCCTCCCCCAGCTGCAGGGCCTGGCGAGGCTGAGCGCGGGGCCAGCTGGAGGCCCAGGGGTGGTGTCCGCAGACCTGGCCGCTGTGCACCAGGGGCCGCTGGAGCTGGTGAGGGAACCCGCTGGTGAGGGGCTTCCGTGTCTTCCTGGGAAGCCCTGGCCTTGCTCGGCGAGGGGCAAAGTGCAGGTGGAGACCAGGGTGGAGCAGGCCTTATGTGTCTGCAGGCAGTCCCACTGAGCAGCCGCCCGTCCCTTCAGAGGGAGCCTGGCGGCGGGTCGCTACTTTCTCCTTGTGCCTTATTGTTATGAAGTGGTTTTATACTAAGCGCCCAGTCCATTCCCCACCAATAAGCTATTTTCTTTTTTTTTAAGAAAGCTGCCCTGGCCGGGCGCGGTGGTGCTCACCTGGGATCCCAGCAGATGGGGAGGCTGAGGCAGGAGGATCAGGTTTGAGACCAGCCTGGGGCAATTAGCAAGATCCTGTCTCTAAATAAAAAACAAAAAGCGCTGGGGTGTGGCTTGGTGGTGAAGCACCCCTGGGCTCAATCCCTGGTGCCCAAAACAAAGAAAGCTCCTGGGGGCCGGGGCTCGGCCCAGGGGTAGAGCGCTGGCCGAGCAGCTTGAGGCCTGGGGCCCAGCCCAGCCCCGCAGAAAATAAAGTAAAACAGAAAACCACTGAATCCTGCACGGAGCATCTCGTCCCTGGCCCAGCAACCTCAGGCCAGCGCCTCCCGTGGATGACAGGAAGTCCCCCAGCCAGGCCGAAACAGCACAGACCCCCTAACCCCTAGGCAGGAGGAACTTGGGACCGGGTTCCTTCTTCCAGGTGGTGGAGAGCAGCACATGGCTGACACAGGTGGCAGCCCTGCAGGTCGGGGCACCCATGATCCAGCGCTGGTGACCCTGCAGTGCAGTGTGCAGATGCTGAGCGGGGAGGAGGGACCTCAATCAGCCCCCTGCCCAGCGGTCAGCTCAGCCTCCGGTGGATCTGTCTTAACAAAGGACTCCGGGTTCCAGATCCTGGGCTGAAGCCTGGATTCCAGTTCTGAAACAGCACCATATCGGGACCGGCTCTGGGCTGTGGTCAGCTCTTGTCCAGCACAGTGGCCACAGTAGCGGGCTGGCCTGGCGGGCAAGCCACCTTCAAATTTTCAGTGATGCTTTTTCAACAAGGGACACCCCAACAGTTTTGTTTTGCACAAGGCCCCAAATCATGTCGTCTGTCTTGCCGGCCTCCAGAATGAGGCTCAGCATAGGGCAGTTGCTCTGTACATGATGGATGGACGGATGGACAGATGCATGAAATGTCTCCTTCTTGAGTCTCCAACCTCAGGGACAATGGAGAGTCCACCCATCAGGGTCTGAAGTGGCCCACTGACCTGCCAAGATCCCGATGTCTGTGCAGATTCTCTGTCCCTAGCACAGATTCAGGATCTGGATGCCCGTGACATGGGGAACCAATCATATAGTTTTGTTTTTGTTTTTGAAAAACTGAAAAAAATTTTCAATTCAGTTGAAAAAATTGAATTGCACCTAGAAGTGCTCAGCTACTGAGCCACATCCCCAGCCCTTTTTTGTATGTTTTATCTGGAGACAGGATCTTGTTGAGTTGTCTAGGGCCTCGCTAAGTTGATGAGGCTGGCTTTGAACTCATGATCCTCCTGCCTCAGCCTCCTGAGTTGCTGAGATTACAGGCATGGCCACCATTCCAGCCCACTTGGTTGTTTTGAGGGCCACCTTACTCTCCCCTCCTGTGTGATCTTAGACAGGTTGCCAAACCTCTCTGAATTTTCCACACTGGGCCACACTCACCCTAAAATCCCAGCAGGCTTTCTTGCCCGGCCTCAGGGAAGTCCTGGGGTCAAGCAGGCCCCGCAGAGTCTTCTGCTCCCTGTGTCCCCTGCTCGCCCAGGTGCTACCTCCAGGGTGTGTGGGTGCATGAGGGGTGGTTCCTCAACCTTGGAGGGCTGTGTGAGGATGGGCCTGGCTGGCAGAGGGCTTTGTCAGCGTGGCTGGGGACACAGGAGGTGCCCCGTGGATGGAGTGGGAGTGGCTGGGCTCACGCCCTCCTCCTGGGCCAGGACCATAGCTGCTGAACCTCCCTGAGGGTGGGTGGCAGGTGAGCCCTGCTGGGGACGGAGGCCCACGGGGTGGAGGAGGAGGTGGCAGAAGGGGAGGAGGGCAGGGGCCTGGCGGATGGAGTCCAGGCACGTCCTGATACCAATTAAGGCAGCTCTGGCGCTGGGGCCTCGGCCGGCATTTATCAGCCCGCCGGGAGGGGCTCGGCAAGCTGTCCTCGCTGACAGATTAGACAGCGGACAATTAGGTTCCAGGCTGGGCTGCCGGCCTCCCTCTCCCTCCCTCCCTCTCCCTCTCCCTCTCCCTCACGTACACCTCCCCTTCTCCATCCATCTGCAAGGCCAGTGGCAGCCCAGCTCCAGCTCCGTCCCTTCCTGGACACAGAGCCCCCTCGCTGAGGGTGGGGAGCACCCCTGCAGGAGAACGAGGGAGCCCCAGGATCCCCGCCCAGCTCTGCACCCCGAGACCGCGGCTCAAGTCCCACGGCCCCACCCCAAGCAGGGTCAGGAGTGGGCACGTTCCGGGGAAGCGAAGCGTGGGACCCGGCCCTGGGAAGCAGCCTCTGCCCTTCACCGAGGGGGCCTTTGATCTGGGCCCTGGGAGGAACTTGGAAGGACTTCTCCAACCTGCAGGAACACATTTGAGGTTCTAGAATGTTCTGTACTGTGGATGCCCCCAGATGGGACCCCGGAGAGGCAGGCTGGAAATTCAGAATCAGGAAGGGTGACCTCGCCCTTCTTTGGGAAGGGACAGGACAGCTCTTCCTCCCACCTCTGTCCTGATGTCCCTGCTGACCCTCTGATGTCGGTGGACACCTGACCCCGGGCAGCCTGCCCAGGCCCTGCACCACGGGCACCCCAGGGCCCCGTGCAGAAGTTAGGCTTAGGCCCACCCACCGCCCCCTGCCCGGCCCCAGCAGCCCACCCTGCCCTCGGCAGCTCTCGCTCCTCCTCGCCGTCCCCAGCAGCCGCCCGGGTGTCCGGCTGTGGTCCCCCACCCCTGTTCTCTGCACAGCACTAGGGGGTCAGTTAAAAACCCTCCCCAACCCACAGCCCAGCCCGCAGTGAAGCCCCCGCCCTGCCCCAGAGCCTTGGTGGCTCCTGCCCCTCTGGAGAAAGGCCCCGCCTCAGGCTCCGGCTGGGCAGGGTCCTGGTGCCACGGGCTGCTGGCCTGGGCACCGCCTCCTCTGCCGTCTCCCACCAGGGTGAGTCCTGAGGGCAGGGAGAGGGGCCTTGGACCTGAGCAGCCCGTGAGGACGGAGCTCCCCTGCCGCTCTGCCCACCCTCAGTCCCGTCTCATGGCTGCTCTGCCTTCCCTGGGGACAGGATGACATCCAGTGACCGGCTGCTTCCCGAGGACTGGCCTTGGCTCACCCCGTGTCCCTCTGCCTGGAATTCCCCTGGCGTCTTCCCAGCCTGACCTCAGCTTGGGGGCCACTTCTTCCTGAAGGCTCCTGAATGTCCAGCTGGACAGTCCCCCTGAATGGATTCCACTGGAATGACCACTGAGCAAGGGGACCTTCCTGGAGCCATCATATTCACAATGCCCAGCAAACAGTAGGTGCTCAATAAACATCTGTCTCACAAACCAGCGAGCCCTGCACATAGGCTCTGCCTGCGTCCGGCTGGGTCTCCGCCTGCCCGGGGCTCTAGGGTCCAGGTGGACGTGAGCGGCACCAGGCTCTGGGGATGCCTCTGCCCTAGAAAGGCGGCAAGAGCTTTGGGATGAGCGGGCTTTGAAGGGCATGAGGTCAGCTGGAGAGCTCAGGCCCCTCGGAGCCCCCGGACTGAGGGCAGCGGGCAGCCCTCCCTCTGGTCATCAGGACCCACCTCAGTAAAGTCCTGATGACCTCCAAGGTCGTGGGGTGCAGGACCTGGAGTGGGCAGCGGAGGAGGCAGGCTGGAGTGGGGCACAGGGGAGCAGCGGCCGAGCCCCGGGGCAGGGGAGTGGGGGTTCTGTCCTCTGCAGGCCTGGGGAAGGCGCTGTCCCCGCCAGGCCTCGGTTTCCACCGCGTAAAGCCGGGAGCTCATCAGAGCCGGGCACAGACCTGGGATCCTGCGAGTCCCAGGATGCTGTGTGGGTCCTGCCCTGGGAGGGCACGTGAAGGTCAGCAGGCACAGGTCACACGGGGGACCAGTGACCCAGGCGGCAAAGGTCGAAAAGGCTGTGGACCCCAGAGAGGCCCGCTGGCCCCAGTCCTCTGCAGGTCCCCGCCACAGCCGTCCCCTCCTGCTGCCTCTGACTCTGCTCCTGGTCCTCCCCGTCACCTCAACCCAGAGGACAGAGCCCAGTCAGGAGGCCGGGCTCCGTGTGCCTGGTGTGCCCTCTAGGACCCTGGTGTCGTTCTTGCCTGCTGCCCCCAGCACCCCTCGACCCTAACTTTGAAGCCCACAAAGGCCCTTATGGAGAAATGGGTCAGTTTCCTGCTAATTAAAATAAACACGATGCCACACTAAGGGCCAGTGAATTCTCAGAGCTGCAGGGGACAGCGCCTGCAGAACGCGCTTCCCGCGCCCACCTCCGCCCGGGGCAGGGGCTCCGGTTCCCAAGGCCAGACCCCAGGCACCAGGAGTCCCAGGCCCTGCGACCAGCGCCCTGCTCGCCCTCGGCCAGGGGCTGGCCCTCCTGTCACAGTGCCCTTTGCCTGTGACAAAGAGGGACTTCCGTGCCGAGTCGCCTCACTGAGCCACAGCAGCCCTGGAGGGAGTCCCCTTGTCCCCATTCTGCAGCCAGGAAACTGAGGTCCAGGGCCACCGAACCCCTTCCTGAGTCAGTCCACACAACCCCGAGCATGACCTTTGTGACTCTGAGGATCATTCCATGACAAAAAGGGTAGGGGGACCGCCCCCTTCACATAAAAACACGATTCATGACTGAATTTGCCCAGGCCCAGGCTCAGCTGCTCCCTGATCCAAAGTCAGCTCCTGTGGCCTTGGCCAAGCCTCTCCCTCCCTGGGCTTCAGCTTCTCATCTCCAAACAAGAGGCTGCGCTCCTGCCCCTGGACTCTGTGAGGGTCCCGGGTCAGTGGGCGGGTGGCGGGGACCAGAGCACCTGTCCAGATACCTGCAACAGCCGCCCTCTGGCCAGGCAGGGCGACCTGGCCGCCTTGCAGCGAGAGGGGCAGGTTGTTGGGGGTCCCCGACCCTGTGCAGGGCCCTGTGACCCCCATGGGAGCTCATGGAAGCTTCTCCTGCGGGGACTCCTTGGGGGAGCGGAGGAGAGGTGGCCTCGCGGGCGGCCCTGCCCACCCCTGCTCTGGGGTCCGCCCACTCAGGGAGATTCCATTCTGCGGCTCCACCCTCACAACTGGGTGCCCTATAGGAGACCTGAGGGACCTTTCTCCCCCCCACCTGGGAGGACACCAGCATCCCTGGTGCTGGACACCAAGGACAAGGAGACAGACAAGCCTGAGAAGTCCCAGTGACGCCAGAAACTCAGACAGGGGACAAACATGGATGTCACACTGGAACGCTGGCACGAGCCAGGCAGGCACAGGACCTGGGTGCACAGGGGTAGATCCCAGAGCACCAACAACCCACTGAGGTCTGAGGGCAGCAGGAGGGGAAGGGCACATTTTGGGGGGTCACAGCACAGGCAAAGGCCCAGCGGCCTGAAAGAACATAATGCGCTGTGGGAACAGAGAACAGCTTGAGGGGGCTGTTCACCTGGGTGGAGCCAAAGCTGGGCACACAGGAGAGGCCGGCAGGGAAGTCGGAATCAATAATACTAACAGCAGCCGCTGCGGTCACTGAGCAGATGCAATGCAGCCAGCGCCCTGCAAGCCCCTCTCAGGCATCAGCTCCCCAAACCCTCCACTAACCCATGAGGCTCAGAGAGGTTAGGCAAGCTGCTGAAGGTCACACAGCTGATAGTGGCCTGACTGGGACTTGGCATCAGGCTCTCAACTCTCACCCAGCAGTACATGGTGTCCTTGAGGAGTTTCATTCCTGTCTCAGGAGGCCCCTGGGGCAGCTGGGAGCCAGCTGGGATTTTTAGGGGGGTTGTGCCGCAGTCTCAGTGCTTCAAGTCCCCAGTGGGGCTCTTGGCAGAACAGTGGCATCTGCCCGGGAGCCGTGGCAGGTCCAACTTCAGGGGCCACGGTTGCCCCAGCTGCGCAGAGGACTGCTCTTGCCCTCCTGTGGCTCTTTCCTGAACGCTGGGCGTTGGCCTGAGTCTTCTGCCCCTCCTGGGCTCCAGCCTTGGGGCCTTTGTAGCACCCAGACTCCTGTTGGGGTCTCGCCCCTCCCACCCTCCTGGACTCCGAGATGCCCACCCTCATCTGCCCTTCCTGGCCCAGGGTGAGTGCTAGGGAGGCTCCTGGGGCCAGCGCACCCCCAGGAAGCCCAGCAGGAGCCTCCTCGGCTCCCCAACTCCCCTGCAGAGGCCGAGGCCCAGGGGGGGACGGCCAGGAGCTGCTGGGCCCTAACCCACTGGGCTCTCGGCAGCCCCAGGCTGTCGCCCACCCGAGCCTGCAGGCTCAGCCCCTCGGGCTCCCCCAAGGCAGTGACTCCCACAGCAGCATCTCTGCTTCACCAAGGGGCAGCCTGCAGGAGGCGCGGGTCTGCAGCTGACCCAGGCCGTGCGACAGGCAGCCAGGCAGGTCTGCTGTCCGCTGGCTCCTGTTTCCCCGTGGAGCCCGCACATCCTGCCGCTGCCCCTTCCCGTCCTGTGCGGGGATTACCTGTGGATGGCAGCCCCTCCCTCCAAGGCAGACGCGGCCTCAGGAGGCCCTCAACACAGCCCCCGCCACCCGTGGACCCGGGGGTCACCACGACCTGGGAGAGGGGCAGGGTCTAGTCTGATCTAGTGCCTGCCCTAGCCCCCGCCCTGCGCAGTGACCGGCCCTTGCTGGGTGGGGCAGATGTTAGTAGCTTCATGAGGGAGGCCTCCCAAAGCCGGTCCTCTAGACCTGCTACTTGGTCACATAGTCACTTGGCAGCAATAGCAACAGTAATAGTAATGTCCCCAAGTCCTCAAGGCATTTCATCTGAGCTGGACACTCAAGGATGCCACCTCACCAGGTGACACATCACATGACAGCACCAGGACCTGACCCTCGCCTCCTGCCCCCAAGTCCAGTGCTCTGCCCTGCCCCACCTTGGCCAGGTGTCACCCAGATGTCGGGTTCGTCCAGTGGACCTGGGCCTCCGTTCAGAACCAGGCAGGCACTGAGGGCTGCTCCTGGGGACAAGGGTGGGAACGGGCTCTGGGGACAATGGTTAAGGAGGGTTTACGTGCTCTGCCTGGAATTCTAGAATCACAGATGGGGACAGGAGCCTGCAGCGTGGTGGTATCAAAGGTGGGGCCCTTGAGGTGACTCAGCCCTGCAGGCTCCACCCTCACGGCTGGGTGCCCCGTAGGAGACCTGAGGGACCTTCCTCCCCTCCACCTGTGAGGACACCCAGCCTGCTGGTCCCAACACACTGGCCTCTTGCCAGCCTCCAGCACCGTGTTCACAACGGACCCGGTGGCAGGCATGGGCTCCAGCAGCCGGACAGACGGACGGAGACGCCCTCCCTGAACAGCCCGCAGGTGTGGCCTTGGCGCCCGGCTGAGGCCCAGCTGAGAACCAGTCTGAGCGCCTGGGACGTCCATGCCTCTCCTCGGCCACCCAGGCAGTTGTCCCCAGTTGCTCAGTGTCTCTGTCAGAATGGGAGCCCCTCCGAGGGGGCCCGAGACCCAGTGCAGTGCTGGGCTTCCGATGGTCAGGACCACTGCGTGCAGCGGGGAGGACAGCGAGGGGGTGCAGGATGGACGCAGGGCAGAAGAGAAGCTGGCTGGTGAGGAGTGACTGTCCCTGTCCCTGGAGGCAGCAGCCACTCAGCCACGGGGTGGGGGGGCCAGGAAGGTTTGGCAGAGAGGCGTAGTCGGCTCACCCCTGGCCGGTCCTCATTTCATCAGGACACATCTCCTGTCCCTGGACCCTCAGCCCTGCAGCTAATGAGGCCTGCCACCACTGGGGACCTTGGTGGGGCATCTCAGAGGACTTCCGGGGGAGGTCAGGGACCCGGGTTTACAGCAGGGTTAATCCCAGCTCCTTGGCCAGGGGCTGTGTGGCCTTGGGCAACTTCCTTCTCTCCTCTGAGCCTCAGCTTCCGGTGTGCAGTGGAGGGTTCACTGAGCAGCTGTGTGAAGACCAGCAGAGTCAGGCTTAGAACCAGCACCGCCCGAGGCCCCTGGAGCCAGGCCCAGGTGGGGCGCCCACACACAGCAGCCCCATCTTGGGACAGCATGTGCCATGGCCAGCCCTGTTTCATGGACGAGGAAACTGAGACTGCTGAGGAAATCCAGGGCTCGAGCAAAGCCACACAGCCTGGCAGCTGGGCACCTGCATTGGGCCATCTCCTGTGGGCTACTGAG